ACTCTCAGCACGGTTGATGCAATAGCAAGAGAAATTTTTATTCTGCCACGGCAGAGGTCCCTCAGCCTAGAGAGGAGAAGGATGCCTGCTTTGTCTATTACAAGCTCTTTTAAAGGAAAAACCACAAAATCAGGAAGGGGGTAGTATAGAATCAAAGGGAAAGTCCAAAAATCATTTGTCAACTATTTTGACTAGTTCATTCAATGGTCAGCTAACTCTTCTTGATCAATGTTATGGCGATTACAAGGAGGAACACCTGCAGGTCGTCTCACCCCAGTTGCAGGGTCCGGGTCTATTGAAGAAAGACTACAATGGGGATGGAAAGTACTCAAAGCTCCCGTGCACGCGTGGTTGGTTCCCAGGAAGGAGGGTGCAGTAGTGCTAGGGTGCCTCAAAGTCTTTCATTAGTTCATCCACAGAAATGAGGGGATGTGACTGAAAGAATCTCTGTAGTTATGACATAATTTCCAGTGCAAATTTTGCACTGAAAAATATAAGTGGGGACCATGATATGGGCTCAGTGGTTAAGAACACTGATCTTGCTGGGCAGTGGTGGCGCACGCCTTTAATCCCAGTACTTGGGAGGTAGAGGCAGGCGGATCTCTGTGAGTTTGAGGCCAGCCTGGTCTACAAGAGCTAGTTCTAGGACAGGTTCCAAAGCTACAGAGAAACCCTGTCTCTGGCACATTTACACATTAGAGTACTACTCAACAGTAAAAAAAACAATGACATCTTGAAATTTGAATGAAAATGGATGAACCTAGAAAAAAAAAAACAATCCCATGATGGGGACATCCACTAAAACAGTTTACCTGAGCTAATGGGAGCTCACCAACTCGGGCCAGAGAGGAAAGAGCATAGGACCAAACTAGACCCTCTGAATGTGGGTAACAGTTGTATGGCTGGAGCAGACTGGAGGGTCACTGGCAATGGTACCAGGATTTATCCCTAGTGCATGTACTGGCTTTTTGGGAACCCATTCCCTTGGATGGATACCTTGCTCAGCCTAGATATAGTAGGGAGGGCCTTGGTCCTTCCTCAGAGCAATGTGCACGGTCAGCCAGGGCTCTTTACTGCCAAGCCTTCTCACCAACCCTACCTTGATTTTTTTTCTTTCTTTTTTCAAAGTTTTTGTTTGTTTGTTTGTCTTTTAGTTGTGATCCTAACAGAGAACTCATCAATCTTCAGGAAAAATATGAAGCAAAGGAAAAGGAATTCCTGGAAAAACCACCGAAGAAGAGACGAGACCAAATCTGTTATGAGCATGCAGGAGCAAGAGGCTCCTGAGAAGTTTAGCCTGGGGAAGCAAACCCAGGGAGATAGAAGGGGCCCGAGGAGGGGGAAACAGCATCCCAGGCTGGGAGGAGCAAACCAAGAAAGACCAGGATTGAAAGGGCCAAGCTTCACCATAGCCTGGGAGTCCAGGTGTTCACAGTCACATACTTTTGCATTGGTGGAGCTCTCAAAAGTTAAGACTAGAATTCAGGACTGTACAGGAAATCTGCTCATCCCTTTCCCCAACCTCTAGCCCCAAATTCCTTCCACCCCATCCTCCCACAGTGTGGTTCCCCAGGGGTACCACCTTCTGCTCCCTCTTCGGCTGTCCACATTGGGCAGGCACAGGCCTTTTGCTTCCTGTCTTACACAAGCGCCACCACACTGCACACACTCTTTACACTTTGCCTCTTTCTTTTTGGAAAATAATGAATTGATTGGTTATTTAGTGTGCACAGGAATGGTGGGCAGGGACACTCGGGCCACAGGGTACAGTTAATAAATTTTGTTGTTATTGTTTTTCTAGACAGGGTTTCTCTGTGTAGCCCTGGTTGTCCTGGAACTAGCTCTTGTAGACCAGGCTGGCCTCGAGCTCACAGAGATCTGCCTGCCTCTGCCTCCCAAGTGCTGGGATTAAAGGTGTACGCCACCACTGCCCAGCCCAAACCACTTTTTTATTGTTGTTGTTGTTTGGTTTTTCTGTCTATTCCTGGCTGTGCTGGAATTAGATCTGTAGACCAGACTGGTCTCGAACTCAGAGATCCACCTGCCTTTGCAGCCCTGGCTCAAAAATCGTTTCTTATTAACGTTTTCTACAAAAAAGTGCTTTTGTTTTCTTTTGTTTATCCCATTTAAAGCATTAGAAATTTAGCTTCTTTGTTTTGTTTAGGGCAAAATTGGATTTATGTAAGTGCTCTTTAGTCCCCATAAATCAAGGAAAACAGAGGGCCTTGATTTTAACACTCTAGGAATACAGAATGTTTCAGGTGTCCACAGTAAGATTTAAAGTTTATTTATCCCCAGGCTGTAGTTTCTCAGTTCTCTCCCTAATCAGTGATACAGAGTATCAGATGGCCTAGAACACAAAGGCTTTTCTTCTTCCCGAGGGGCATAAACAGAAGGCTTAAGTCTTTGAAACAGCATTAACAACAGCAACAACAAAAACAAGGCTTAAGTAATTTGATCAGACAAATAATTCAAACCACGTGTGGTGGTCCATGCCCCAGGAGGATCTTTGTGAGTTTAAGGCCAGCCTTGGGTTACATAGTGAGACTCTGAATTGCGGTGTGTGTATATGTGTGGGTGTGTGTGTTTGTGTAAAAAAAATGTTATAGCCTGTTAGTGCACACCTTTGAACTCAGCCCTCAGGAGGCAGAGGCAGGTAGATCTCTGAAGTCAGCCTAGTCTACAGAGTGAGTTCCAGGGTTACACAGAGAAAAAAACAAACAAAATTGTTAAAATCATACTTTATTTAAGTGAACATATTTTCAATATTTTTTATTGCCATCTTGTCACTCCCATGAGTGAATTTATATCTTTAGTAAATCTGTTGTATACATCCATAAAAATCTAGTATTCCTTTGCATGGTTTAAAACTTTTCATAGGCCAAGATGATGGTGCAGGCCTTTAGTCCCAGAACTCGGGAGACAGAGGCAGGCAGAACTCTGTGATTTTTAAGGCCAGTATACAGAATGAGTTCTAGGACAGCCAGGACTATACGGTAAGACCTTGTCTCAAAAAACAGCAACAAAATAAAAATAAATAAATAAATAAATTACTTTTCATAAATGGCATCCCATGACCCAAACTCTTTTGCAATTTCTGTTCTTTGAGTTTATGCGTTTAGCATTTTTTTCTTCATTGAGCTGAGGATTAAATCCATTGATCTGAATCAGGGTGGGACTGGCAGTGGTGGCGCACGCCTTTAATCCCAGCACTGGGGGGGCCAGACGCAGGCGGATCTCTGTGAGTTCGAGGCTGGCTTGGTCTACAGAGTAGAGTTCCAGAACAGCCAAAGCTGCACAGAGAAACCCTGTTTCATTAAAAGAAAACAGAGCCGGTGGTGGTGGCGCACGCCTTTAATCCCAGCACTCAGGGGGCAGAGGCAGGCGGATCTCTGTGAGTTCGAGGCCGGCTTGGTCTAAGTTCTAGAACAGTCAAAGCTGCACAGAGAAACCCTGTCTCATTAAAACAAAACAAAGCAAAGCAACAGGGTGGGTAATGGTGGCTCACACCTTTAATCCCAGCACTTGGAAGCGAAGCAGGCAGATCTTCGATTTCGAGGCCAGCCTGTACTATAGAGCAAGCTCCAGAACAGCCAGAGCTACACAGAGAAACCCTAACTCAAAAAAACAAAACAAAACAACAACAACAACCACAACAAAAAAGCCCAGCTACAATAACAAACAAACACAAACCTGAGCAGGGCTAGTAAGAAAAACTTGACTTTACATTTCCTGTCTGCTTATTGGGTCATCTCATTGATCATCGTCCAACCCAGTACTGGGTGTGTCTTGAGCCCTCTCCCTCCATGTTCGAATCCCCTGTGATCTCTTATCCTTGAGGCGTCAAGTCTGAAATCTACCTTTCTTTTTGTTTTTGTTTTTTTCGAGACAGGGTTTCTCTGTAGCTTTGGAGCCTGTCCTGGAACTAGCTCTTGTAGACCAGGCTGGCCTCGAACTCACAGAGATCCACCTGCCTCTGCCTCCTGGGATTAAAGTGCTGGGATTAAAGGCATGCGCCACCACCACCCGGCTGAAATCTACCTTTCCACCCAGATCTGCTTTCTAGGCTTCTAACCAAACCCCTAGTCTGGAATCCTCAACTGGATGCTGCATAGACAATCTTAGAGCATCCTGCAGATGTTTCTAAGCCCTATAGAGAGCTGCCTTTCTGATAGCATTCCCGACAAAGGGAAAGGCTTCAGTCACCATCTGGGACTCGGGGAAATGCTTGTTCCCACCATCAACCCAGTGAAGCACTACACTAACTGGTTCAGCTGTTATATTAGAATATCTCATACTGACCAAGAGCGTTCACACACACACACCACACTCCCACACACTCCTTTTTGTTTTGATCCAATCTGTCATAGGTCCGGTGGAAACAGCTAAATTTTATGCTGTGGCTTGCTTGGGTTTGCTTATTTTTGGAGGGACAGAGTCTTACTGTGTAGCCCAGACTGTCCCCACACTCAGGATCCTCCTGTCTTTGCCTCCCAAACACTGGGTTTACAGGTGTGTACCGCTGTGCCAGATTCAAAAGTCTATTACTAGCCGGGCGGTGGTGGCGCACGCCTTTAATCCCAGCACTCGGGAGGCAGAGGCAGGCGGATCTCTGTGAGTTCGAGACCAGCCTGGTCTACGTGAGCTAGTGCCAGGACAGGCTCCAAAGCTACAGAGAAACCCTCTCTCGAAAAGCCACAAAAACAAAAACAAAACAAAAACAAAAAAGCAAAACCAGAGGGGAGGGAAAATGAGTAAAGGTCAGAGGTTTCCCTGTCAGGGACACCCCCCCCCCCCTTGCAGGCATCAGGCCTGCTAAGGAGTTGTGTGATTGGCTGAGCGCTAGGTGGGAGGGTCCTGGGTGGGTGTGGCCTTGGCTCCGCCCAGCCTTGGAGGCTTTTAGAAGGTCCACCCGCAGCTGGGATTGTGGCGTAGTGGTGTTAGGACATTTCCCTATGACGGCACCAGTCTCGCTAGGCCAAAGTTGCGCCCAGGCCGACATGGAGCGGGAAGATGAGTGGCAGGCTGCTCACCAGCCTCCCAAGGTGAGTCTGTGGTCCACCCTATGGTGTTGTAGGGTGGTGGTGGAGAACCGAATGGAGGTTGGAATGAAGAGGGCCGAAGCAAAAAGGAGGCTTGGTTAGTCATTAAAGTATGTTTTCAATCAAGCATTAGAGCCTGGGTTGGGTGGTGAAGGCGGGAGGGTTTGGCTCAGCTTTGTGGGGAGGGATTTGTGTACTGCAGAAGGATGGGGAGGAAAAACGTTTATCGGAGCAATTTGTCAGACTCCATTGATTATGGCCTGAGTTAATTTTTTTTTGGAGGGGGGCGGCTCAAAGATGGGTTCTGTGTATTCTCGACTGTTTTGAAACTCGCTCTGTAGACCAGGGTGGCCTCGAACTCAGAGATCCGCCTGCTTCAGCCTCCCGAGTGCTGAGTTTAAAGGCCTGCGCCACCACTACTTGACTTACTATCCTGGAACTCACTATGTAGACAGAGATCCACCTGCCTCTGCCACCTATGTGTCAACACATCCAGCTCACCAATTCCTTTTGGGTCTAATCTGTAACTATTTTCCTTGTGGTTCTCATGGAAATTGGTGTCAACCCAGATTCCGTGTAGCTTCTGTATATAGATTGTATATAGTTTTATATATGTATTTACTATATATTTATATATAGTTTTATATATTTATTTTTATATTTCTAGTCTAGATCTCAGTTTTTTGTGCCAACAATGGAATGCTTTTAAAATTTCTAATGTAACACAGGTGACTAATAGCCACATTAGCATTAGTCCTGAAGTCCCTAATCTAGCGATTTGCACTTTAATTTTAAATGTATTGAGTCGCCAGGCAGTGATCCGCACGCCTTTAATCCCAGCACGCAGAAGGCAGAGGCAGGTGGATCTCTGAGTTTGAAGTCAGTCTGGTCTACAAGAGCTAGTTCCAGGACAGGTTCCAAAACTACAGAAAAGAAGAAAGAAAGGAAGAAAGGAAGGAAGGTATTGAGTCATTAGTATTTTGAATCATCAAAACCAAAAGCTTCACATGCATAAAAATGACTCATTCTGTGCACCATTAATAAAACAGTGCTTAGCCATTAGACACAGCCAGTATTTGCTGAGCTGTAAAGGTCTGGGGTAGCTCAGCAGGTAAAAGTGAGTGCTGACAAGTCTGATCTGGGTTCAATTTCTGGAACCCACATGCAGGAAGAAAGGTTTTCCATATATAGTTTTTAGGGGTTTTTTGTTTGTTTGTTTGTTTGAGACAGGGTTTCTCTCTAGCTTTGGAGCTTGTCCAGGAACTAGCTCTTATAGACCAGACTGATCTCGAACCCACAGAGATCCGCCTGCTTCTGCCTCCCGAGTGCTGGGATTAAAGGCGTGAGTCACCACCGCCTGGCCTAGTTTTTAGACCTTTTTATCATTGGGATTCTATATGCATTTGTTATTGAGCCTGACTTTCCATGGGAACTGTGGATTGGAATTCAGTTTGTGCCAAAGCTTCATTCACTGACACAGCGTACCCAGCTCTGGTCTTAATCTTGTGCCCATTCTGGAGTTCAGAAGAGCTGAGAACTGACCCTTGACATCCCTGTTGTCACTGGAGATTTGGTAAGCTCCATGACCAGACAGAATTCCAATAAAATGGTGAGCTCTCCCAGGTGGATTCAAATATCACAAGGGCCACAGAATCCAAACCAAATAGGTCCCTTGATGAGTATAGCATCTGTAAGTCAGGCGTAGCAGCTCATGTTTAAACCTAACACTTAGCAATAGAACGAGGCAGGGGGATTGATAGAAGTAGGCGACAGCCTCGGTTGCACAGCGAGTTCCAGCCAGCCTGAGGTGGACATAAGCCATTGTCCGTTCATGCCTATGCTTCGGGGTGTGGAGGAGAGGCATGTGGAGCCGAGGAGTAGAGCAAAGCGGACTTTGGTTTACTCAACTCTTTCTTACAGGATAATGAGAGGCCGACACCGATGCTGCATCTGTCAGTGCCTTCTGGGAATGGTGGAGTTCATCAGCCACCCACTCCAGCCGCCACTCAACATGTATCCAATATGTCAAGGCCATATGTGTTATCCGCTGAGGAGTCCAGGCAGAGTGAGGGTGAAGGGGAGTCAAAGGTCATTCTCTCCCTACCTGAGCATGGTGTGAGGTACTCCTCCCCACTGCCTCCTACACCTTCCCAGATGTATCATCAGCCACCGTCTATCCTCCAACCCAGCAGAATGATTGACACGGGATCCCACATGATGTCCTTAGGGAGTCCAGGTACTCTGGTGGGAGTGAACTTAGCCTTCAGTGAGAATCTGATGCCTCACAGTGGCCTGCTAGGCTCAGCTTCCAGCGGTGTCCCAGTAATGGCCTGCAGCAGTGTCCCACCGATGCCTTATCCTGTCCCCTCAACAGTACCTTCTACCACAGGCTCTTTAAATAATGGAATATTGTTGGTCCAAGGCATGGCTCCCAGCGGGGCCTGTGCCATGCCTCCCTCGATGGATCGGATGCTGCACTTAAATCCCTACAATCTTGGGATGCCCCCAGCTAGGCTTCAGCCATTGCTGACTTTAGATTCCCAGGACTCGCTTGTGACACAGTCAAGTTCCCAGGAAGGACCTTTCATATCTGAGCAGCCCACACCTAGTCCACAGGGTTCAGAGAGCCCCAGTACTTCAGCAGAGGCATCTGGGAGACCATCTCCAGCTTCAAGGCCTTATGTCTGCCTGTATGAAAACTGCGGGAAAGCTTACACCAAGCGCTCCCACCTCGTGAGTCATCAGCGTAAACACACGGGTGAGTGAGGTGTTGGGTGGAGAAGGGATGCAGGGATCTTTGCTCTTTCGAAAAATGTTTTTCATTTTATTATGTGAAAGAGTATTTTGCCTTCATGAATGTCTGTAAACTGCGTGCATGCCTGGTCCCTCCGATGGAGGTCAGAAGAAGCTTGAATCCCTCAGAACTAGAGTTAAGCAGATGGCTGGGAACCACCATGTAGGTGCTGGGAATTGAACCTGGGTCCTGCAAGTGCAGCAAATGCAACAACTGAGCCAATTCATTGTCTGGCCATCTTTTTTCTTTTCTTGATTTATGCAGGACCACTGATTTATTAGGATTGGCCCTTTCTCTTCCAAGCTTGGAATCAAGCCCTCTGGTCCCACTAGCTCCCCATTCCATCTGGCAGTCCTGCCTCCCACTGGTTCCTTCGTCTTCCCTTTTGATCTCTCTACTTTAAATCCTCTTGCCCCAGAACTAGATCTCTTTCTTCCCACTGTGGTTTTTTCTGCTCAGTTTAACTTTCCCTCGTCCCTCCCTAGGTGAGAAGCCCTACGTGTGTGACTGGGAAGGCTGCACGTGGTCTTTCTTCCGCTCTGATGAGCTCGGACGACATAGACGGATCCACACCAGAGACCGGCCACACAAATGCTTGGAGTGTGGACGGCAGTTCATGAGATCCGACCATCTCAAGCAACACCAAAAAACTCATCAGCGCATGCCAGACGTCCCGACACCTCAGGCCAACAGCAAACAGGCGGACGAACAGATCGGCGGTCCTCCTGCTCCTGGTCAGGGGCTTTAGCTCCTTTTCCTGGATTCTCTAAACCAAGACCCTGCTGCCCGAGACTGGGTCATTTCTGGGGTAGGTGAAAGTTCAGATGGAGACAGGAAGTAGTGAGGAGGCTCACATGAAGCTCTTGACACCAGCGTGGATTCCTCAAAAATCTGGTGCCTCTCAGGAATTAGTGACTTCAGCTATTTATCCAGATGAGAAGATGGAGCCATGGACTGGACTTAATTAGAAAGCATTTTTCCTGTCCGTCAACAGCAGGGAACACTCTCATGCCTGCCTGTTCCGTGAAGCCATGTTCTCTCCCTGGGTCTTCCACAGTGTCCAGGGCCGGACCATGGGAAAGACATCTTAGTATTAGAAGGTACTGAAAACGTCCCATGCACCACACCAGGCTCCCTCTGGCCTTCACCATCCATATGCCCAGAGTTTCTCTTCCCAGGTCTCAACCGGGATGCTCCACTACAGGACATGATATCTGGCATTCCATGGGGCCACCAAAACCAAGCCAAAATCAGTCTCAAGGACACTAATAGTCATGGGGGAAACTCCAGGAAAGAGGAGACTTGAGAGAGACAGATAGTGATTATCTCTATCCCCACGAATTGCTGCAAGTTTTGCTTGTCCCCAACAGCAGTCTGGGGAGACCTCCCAAGCAGCCTGCAGACACGCCCTTCAAGGTTGGCCACGAAGCAGTGCCCATCACGGAAGTGTGCTGCCTTGGGCCACTGTCCATTCCTTCCGTTCCACTTGCTCTCCCTCCTAACCTTGGTGTTGAATGTCCCCAATAAACACAGTGTTTGTGCTGTTCATAAACCGGTGTGGGGAATGGGGGGGGGGGCTTAGGACAAATCCCACCATAACGTCCTCTCTACCTGGCCCAGGTATCAGGTTGCAGGTCATTTATGTATTTTAAAAAAGTATATTTATTGTGTGCGCTCGTGTGCAGGTCAGAGACAACTTTGGGGAGCCAGTGATCTTCTAGCGTGTGTGGCCCTGGGATTGAATTCAGCTTGTCAGTCTTGTTGGCCTTTGTTTGGTTTTGCTTTGGAGAAAGGGTTTCACTGTGGCGCCCAGGCTGAGTTGCAGGTGTGAGCGCCCACCCAGTTTCAGGCTGCCTCCCCTCCTGTCCCCTCTGGTTCTGAGGGACAATAAGTGTCTGGTAGCTCACCCTGGCTGTCTTCTGGATTCAGTTGGCCATTTTACTGAGCATTAAACTAACAGAAAGGAGCTAGGCCTTAAGTCATCCTCCCTGTAGGAGCTCAATAAAGGTTTAAAGTTAAAAAAGGTTAAGGAGCAGCCGGGCGGTGGTGGCGCATGCCTTTAATCCCAGCACTTGGGAGGCAGAGGCAGGTGGATCTCTGTGAGTTCGAGACCAGCCTGGTCTACAAGAGCTAGTTCCAGGACAGGCTCCAAAACCACAGAGAAACCCTGTCTCGAAAAACCAAAAAAAAAAAAAAAAAAAAAAAAAAAAAAGGTTAAGGAGCTTGGCTAAGCCACCCAGTGGCAGAGCCAGAACCCCAAATATCCCTGCCCCCAATGTGGGTTTCTTCCCTAAGAGCTGGCACCTTCCATAGGTGTTCTATAGACCCAGACCCAGTCCTATGCCAGGTGTTGGCTACAGAAAGGTGACTCCATCTTACACTTAAGGGACCATGTTGGGCTCACCAATTCACAAGCCTCCACGACACAACACACGGTGCGGGCACACAGGAAGGATGTACCAGGAAGAACAGGCCTCAGGTCTGAGCCAGACCTTAACCACGGAGGCTTAGCTATGCCTCATTCCCAGACACCCTTGGTTGAGCGTCCTGAGCACTGAAGAGTTAGGCATGGTCACCCTGACTGTTAAGGAGCAGCAAAGACCAGAACTGGCCTCTGCCTGTGGATATCAGAAGCTACTGTTAGAAGCGGGTGTGTTAGCCTGGAGTGGTGGTAGTAGGTGCCTGGAAACCCAGCACTCAGGAGATGGAAGCAGATTTAGGAGCTTGAAATGACTTGAAAGCGACAGATGAGAAACAGATTAATTCCCTATTGTGATGTCTATCATATATAAAAGCTGTCTTAACTTTGACAATTTTGCCTGCATGTGTACTACAGTGCTTGAACAGAGGTAGGTGACAGCTCACTGGAGTTTTCCTCCTATCCTGGAGGTTCCAGGGGTCAAACTCAGGCTTGGCGGCAAGCAACCTTACTACCCACGGAGCCATGTTGCAGGCCCATATATGGAATTGTGGGAACAGGTCTTAGGTAGCCCCAAGCTGGGTCTGAACTATGTCACCAAGGATAATGTATTCTTTCTCCAAGTGCCAGGATTATAGGTGTGTGCCAACGACACGGGTGTGGCGCTGGGGAGAAACCAGGGCTTCAGGAATGCTAGCCAAGCACACTACACCAAACTACACCTGCTTGTATCTATGGTGCAATTGAAAGAATACACATTTGCCCTTTTTAGTCACTTGAGTCAAAGAATTCATTTATGTATAGAGTCTCCTTTTATCCTCCAGAGATGTAACCACTCTTGGGTCTTGGTAAAGCTGGTGGTGTTGCCTTTATCACATATGACTCGTCGCTAAGCAATACAGTGATTGGTTTTGTATGGTTTTACTGTTTTTACTTTGTCTGAGGTTTAATAAATTTTAATAAGATTTCTTGTCTTAAAGTTTGGAATTTTTTAAAAAAATATTTATTTTATTTATTATGTATACAATGTTCTGTCTGTGTGTACGCCTGCAGGCCAGAAGAGGGCACCAGACTTCTTTACAGATGGTTGTGAGCCACCATGTGGTTTCCGGAAATTGAACTCAGGACCTTTGGAAGAGCATGCAATGCTCTTAATCACTGAGCCATCTCTCCAGCCCCCTGGAAATTTTTTTGACTGAATTTTGTCAAGCCTCCCCACCTCCACAATCTATCCCCCCCCGCCCCATGATCTGAATGAGAGCTGCCCCCACAGGCTCGTGAGTTTGAGTGTTTGGTGCTCAGATGGAGGAACTCTTGGAATGACTAAGAGGTGTAGCCTTGCGAGAGGAGATGTGTGTGTCACTCGGCTGGGCATTGAGGTATCAAAAATTCATACCATTCCCAGAGTGCTCCCTCTCCCGCCCCTGTGGATGTGAACTCTCTGGGAATGTGAGCCCCAAATTAAATACTTTCTTTTATAAGTTGCCTTGGTCACAGTGTTTTATCACAGCAATGGTAAGACATAAGACGATACCATATTTGGAGCAGGATAGGTAGATCTGTAATCACAGCCCTTGAGGAATTGAAGGCAGGAAGAGCAGATGTCCAAGGTTATCTCTGGTTATAAATTTGAAGCCAGCCTGAGCTATGAGAGACCCTGACTTGAGCAGGAGGAGACACAGGTTTTATTTTTTGTTTATTTTTGTTTTTTGAGAAAGCGTTTCTCTGTAGCTTTCCTGCTTCTTGTAGACCATGCTGGCCTCCAACTCATAGAGATCCGCCTGCCTCTGCATCCCAAGTGCTGGCTGGGCTTAAAGGCATCACCACCGCCCAGCTGGGAGGTATGATCTTACTACGTAGTTCAGCTTGGTCTAGAACTTGTAGGGTTTGAACTTGAGGTAATTCTCCTGCCTCAGTCTTCTGAGTGCTGGGATTATAGACATCATCCAGGTGTGGACCTGGATGGCATTATTGAAATTTTGAGGTGTGGTTATAAGTTTTTTGTTTTCTTGTTTTTTTGGTATTGAACTGAGGGCACTGGACAAGGTAGGCAAGTACTCTACCACAAAGCCATATCCTTGGTTTTTACTTTTTAAATTTGAAGTAAGGGCCTCCTTCTGTTGCCCACGCTGGCCATTCAAGGAATGAATCCAATCACTTTCTGTTTTCCTGGCTTGGTCTTCCAGGAAGCAGGCCCAGCTTGCTTTCATCTTCGTTTTTTTGTTGTTGTTGTTTTGTTTTGTTTTGTTTTTTTAAGATGTATTTATTTATTTATACAGTATCCTGCCTGTAGGCCAGAAGAGGGCACCAGATCTCATCATAGGTGGTTGTGAGCCACCGCGTGGTTGCTGGGAATTGAACTCAGGACCTCTGAAAGAGCAGTCAGTGCTCCTAACGGCTGAGCCATCTCTCCAGCCCCCATCTTTGTTTTGTTTGTTTGTTTGTTTGTTTTTCAAGACAGGGTTTCACTGTAGTTTTAGAGCCTGTCCTGGAACTAGCTCTTGTAGACCAGGCTGGCCTTGAACTCACAGAGATCCACCCGCCTTCCTCTGCCTCCTGAGTTCTGGGATTAAAGGCGTGCGCCACCACCTGGCTCATCTTTGTTTTGAGTCAGGGTCTCACAAAATGCAGTACTAGATGGAACTCCGCTTTGTAGGCCTGGCTGGCTGCCAACTCTCAGAGACTTGCCTGCCTCTACCTCCCAAGTGCTGGGATTAAAGGTATGCACCACCACACCTGGCTTACGTTAATCTTTTATGGATAGACCCAGAGTGAGCTTTTTGTACTTTTTTTTACTTAAATTTTTTTTCAGACAAAGTCTCCTGTATCTCAGACTGGCCTCTAACTTACTATGCAGTAGAGGATGGCCTTGAACTTCTGATCCTCCTGCCTCTACCACTTAGCTATTGGGACTATATACAAGTATCATATACTGTTACACCCGTGTCATGGGACTCCCAAACAAGACCACTACAGAGCCAGTATCCAATGCAAACCCACTGGGGTTTATTGATTTTTCAAACTAGTCTGGACTGAGTTTCAACACACTTTCCCAGCAGTTGGGGGAAAAGGGCCCTGAGTCTTCACGGGAAGGGAATTTTAAAGAGAAAACCGCAAGGCACGGTGGTACAAGCCTTGGCATTTCAGGATTGGATAAAAGTATACAACTTTTGATTTCGTTGGTTGGGGCATAGGAGAATCTCAAAAACAGTGATTGTCCGCAGACAAGAATTTCTTTCTTTCTTTTTTTTTTTTTTGGTTTTTCGAGACAGGGTTTCTCTGTGGCTTTGGAGCCTGTCCTGGAACTAGCTCTGTAGACCAGGCTGGTC